GAGGCGAATCGCTCTAGCTGAACGCTTTCTAGACAGCATAAGCGTCTGTGGCCCTAATTGTTGGCTTTCATCAGGAAACTACTAAATTAGGGCACGTATTCAAAGCTTGGTGACTCTTCCATACCTGTTTTCTGTTTTAACACACTTGCGACAGGTTAGATGCAGCCTAAGATAAGGCCCTGCAAGGCAGGTGTCCGTGCAGAAACCCGGTGCAGAACTGTAGCTGCCGAACAGTTACTCCAACTCCTTCCTATGGGAGCAGCAGATTAAATAGAAAGGGAGCCATATACCCTCGGTTAGCAAAGTGGTATGAAGACCAGCAACTAGGGGGTGGGGAAGGACAGAGCAGACTGCTATCTACCAAACTTAAAGCAGTCATAGGGCTTAATCTTGCTGTCCCCGAAGCCAAGCTCTGCAAACCAGAGTCCAGTGCCCAAGGAACCCCACCCGCCACTGCCTGAGGTTTTGGTTGCACTCCGATAACCCATCCGGCTGCTCACCAGCCCTAGCTCTGCTTTGCTTGGCTGAGCTGACGCAATCACAGCGTCGAGTGCTTTTTGTTGGAGACAAAATTATCTAACAAGAGGCAATTATGTGGCATTACCATTAAAAGCAGCCTGTGAAAAGCTTTAAGTCTGCAAAATCCCTTTCTCTACCTTTGCACTAAATAGGCCTCATTTAGCCCATTTGTTCTGTCCCAGGCAGGCAAAGCGAAAGCAGGGTTGATCGATTTGTTAATTACAGTAATTTTATCTTAAATACAGACAGCTGAGTGTTCATCAAGTCACAAACTCGCCTGTTAGTGAGAGACCTCCCCCCAGCTAAATAATTAGGGATAATAGTAAGTGGCTCATAATAAATGCACCACACAACAACGCGCTCCACGAGCGTAGGGCAGAACCAGGGGGGCTATTAGGGAACCCCCACGTCTATTTCTCCTTTCCAAGAAAACAATGCAATATCCTTAATTGTCTCTCTCGAAATCCTGAGCCAGCGCCGCTGGTTTGTTATGAGTAAAATGCAATTATGCCACTTTTTGACTGCCTCTTGCGTCCAGAGGACGGCTTACCACAAAGCCATCAGCGCAGGGGAGAGTAACTTTCTCAGCTTGCACCGTCTAGACTCACGCAAAGAGCGGAGCTGCGGGTAGCACAGGTAGGTTACGTACATGTAATCCCACTCCTCAGTATTTTTAAAACCCTAGGTGAGCCTCAAAGTATCCCCTTTTGACAGATATCTAGGGTCTTTCTCCTATATCCAACAATTTCTGATCACAATTTAAAAAAAAACACAACTCTCCAAACCTCTTATTTCCCCTCAAAAGCACAAACTAGTTTTAATTTGCATATATTTAAATTAGAGCCTATCTAGACTAGATTACAACCTGACTGTCACGGTCTGCAGCTGTACTACCGCTTGCACAGTGAGAGCTGGTCCCAGAACTGCTGATACAGACAACGCTTTCCTCCTACACAGTAGTCCCTGTGCTAGTATCGGCCTACAGATAACCTTGTCTGGAGCCGATCTAAGTCGCCTACAGTAGCAAAGCAACTTCTCTTCGCTTACAGAAGGATGAAGACCCTGTGTCAACAAGACAAGGTCAATTCTGAATGAGAGGGAGAGGCCACAGAGCACACGGACACCCTCACACCCCGCCTGCCCTGCTAGGATTAATCTGCCTTCCTCCAGAAGCTGAGGAGCTGGAAAGGGACAACCAACACAAAGCCCGATCAAGAGGAGCAAAAGCGTTTGGCCTAAAAACCTCAGTTTGTAGGGAGAGGGCTAGGGAGACTATGGGAACTGATCCTGAAAGTCAGTGCAGCTGTGCCTTTTCTAAGAAGAGGCCATAGTGCAGTATTTTAAGTTATGTTCCCCTTTCCCCAAGTAGAAAGGAAGCTAGCAATTAAATGAACCCTTACAGGAAAGCAGAGCTGCCTGCAGAGTTTTCCTTCAGCCCCACGCTTTCACAGAAAGCCATCAGGACCCTGGTGATCTGTGCAGGGGCGAGGAGCTCCAGGCACACATCCACCCCTCTCACGGTCCTTCCAGAAACGCACAGTGAGCAGAGGAGACTTCGGAAGACTAAGGCAGGTCGTTTGCTGGAAGAAGCCTAGCTGCAATCACCCACATTCATGTTGGGCATGACCTTGCACGCTGTCCCCCAGCCAGGCTGCACATGCAGCCATCGTGTCCAATTGCAACCAGACTAGATTTGCACAGAACCAGAGAGTTTCATTCTCAGAGATACAAGCGAGCAGGCAGAAACACGGACGTCGTTTGCCTTGTTTTCCAACAGACAAACAGGGAGCACACTAGGGGAAAGAAAATTTTAAATCAAATGCAACTTTTATTTGTTTGCAATAGTACCCACTGTCATTTACTCACTCTGCTCTAGGAAATGTAGTTAGCTGTTTTTCCTATGGCATTTCCCTCCAAGGGCTGAAGCTCTGTTCGTTCCTTTAAAGACCTCGTCTCCACGCACATTTTTCCTGAAGTAAATTATTTATTTTTAAAATATATGGTATTTAAGTCAGTGTCACTTCATCCACAAATATGTTTAACCAGCATTTGCAAGACTCTTTCATGCTATTTCCTGTTATCTCAGCACACCGGACTAAGTTTATACAGAATAAATACTAGGCTTTTCCTCTGAGCAGAGGAGATAGCAGGGTAATGATCAATCAAAAAACACCCTTGGGGATGGAAGAGATTAGCACTTTGATACTGCTGAAGATGAATGGGTGGAATGAGTTTGATAAGCTGCTGTTCTCCTCCGATAATTGCTCTGAAAAGCTTTCTAAGGCCACTTGGATCCTCCCCCCCCTTCCCTTTTGTTTCAGGATAGGATAGCAAGTCCAGCATCGGGGCTCCTGGAGAGACTGCTATTGTTACTGTTTTTAACTAAATAGCAGCAGTCTTATGCCATATTTCATCACCCAGGATTGAACAATAAAGGAGTCATTTAGCCACGCTGTTCCAGACTGCATTCCTATTATTCTTGGCCAACCGCTAGTCCTTTCGGTTGCATATAACCCCGAGCACAGCTCAGAGCAGATCAGGGTGCAGGAAGAGGGACTTTGCATGGCACTTGGATGTCCTCCTCAAGCTTAAATCTTCAACAATAGCTCTTCATCCTTCAAAAGTCACTACCCCTTCGTGCTCAGGATCAGACCTTCACCCCACCAACAGACCTCTGTGGGGAAAAACACCCAAGACCTACAGCCAGCTCCCAACCTTGCTTCAGGCTTCCTAAACCAGTCACGGACCTCCTGCTCTTCCTCCTCCCAAACCTCTCTTTCACAGCCACCTTGCAGGCTCATCCAAAGGGAAGCTTTCACTGAAGCTGTACCACGAAATTCAGTTGTCAGGTTCGCTTAGACTCCAGGTACATCTGCCCTCAGACGCGGCGAGACAACTCCTGCAGGCAGTCATGGATGTTAGGCCGTTCAGTGTGCTAACCACGTCCTGAGCCACCAGCAAAACAGGAGCCAAGAGCTTTTATTGTATTTTTATTGTTTCATTGATTAACTGGTTTTTAAATACAGAATTAAAAATTTGTAAAAAATAGTTATTAAAAGCCAGCATTCAAAAGCAGGTTGCACATGAGTGACACTGTTCCAAATTCACACTTGCTTTTTGGTTAAAAAAAAAAAAGTTAGGAAAGACAAAAATAAAAAAGCATATCCACCTTCTGGACAGAGGGTTTTTTTTTTTAAAAAAACACCACACACACATTTCCTTTCAAAATGGAGGACTGGTATTTGTCGCAGAAGATTCTCCCACCAGCATTGTTTTTCACAGCACTGATTCACATTGCTTGGTGTTCTAAAAAACCCTCAGATTTGTTGTTTACAGAAGCAGCGAAGTAGCGTTTCTCCCTCCTCTGTACTGAAGTCAATTTGTTAAAAAACATCCAGCATATGAGGGGTGGAGACAATTTCAATATTACACAAGTTAAATTGCATCCCTACAAAACGCAAAAAAGCATCTTTGAGCAGGAACAGGTTCCTCTTTCTCTCACTGATTTTTCAATGATATTCTTGCATAGTAGCTACTTAGGAGTTACCACATTTCTGGCACTCACTCTTTGCTAAGCTCCATCGCTGCAACAAAGATCTCCAGAAGTCACTAAGTGAGTAGGTACCTTCAATTTTTAATGCCCAATTTTAGAGCAGCCTGATCTTTAAAGAGACACAGAGCACCCACCCTCAACAACAGTCAGCCCCCTTTAGGCACAATTTAAGCCCTATAAACCCAAAATGTCCCGACTTTGGGGTTTGGGGTTAGCAGTTTGTTGGGGTTTTTTTGTTTTTTTTTTCCTTCAAGTTGCTATTATGGCTCTGAAGACAGACAGCTATGAAGGTAACCCCTTGCATCAGTGAATGTGCATCATCATAGTCAAAAGTGTAGACAGACTCTAACGTGCACAACATTTTAAGACATCAGCATCACACGTACAGTATTCACAACAGCTTAGAAAGAATACAGACGACTATGGCTCACCTGTGTCTCAAGGATCTTAATCACCAAGAGAATTTAACCACAAAGACAGACAAACCACAGAACGAAGTGCTCGTACAAAAGAACATTATGACCTCAAGATAACCGAGAGGGACAGCTACATATCAGCCTGGGGGAGAGGCAGAGAGAGGAGAACAGGGGAAAAAAAAAAAAAAAAAAAAAAAGAGAGGTGGCAAAGTTCAGACAGCAATGGAAACAAATTCAGTTAAACAAAAGATGTAATACTGAAGATTGTCACTAGTTCAGGCAGGACTTGGCATATGAAATACTTTGAGTACACACTTGCAGGGCAGCCCTGCTTCTGCCACGCGAATAAATATCCAACAGTGTTTAAAAACTGTATAAAAACCCGACGCCAGGATTTTCAGAAACGCTGCCTGCTCCATCCCCACTAACTGCGCAGCGGGTTCCCTCGCGTGAGCTGTCCCAGCATCGCTGCAAAGGAGAGCGACGTTCCTGCACTGCTCTTCCGCTCACGCTGCGCCGTGCGGCGGGCGCAGTTCAGCACCCACCGCAGCGAGCGGATGTACAGAGGCACAGACCTCCTTATTTCAGCCACCGCACATCTCGGGGATTGTTGTTTTTAAACGGCTACGTTCACGCAGAGCCCTCCAGAAAGAAATTTTGTTCGTGTGGCCAGGTCAGACGACCAACCTCAAATTAACTGTAGAACGCTTCCTTAGTTATCCCTTCTTTATGTAGGAGGTTTTGTAAAAACAGTCATCCAGCAAAAGAAAAATGCTTGTCTTACCCTCAGTGGTAACCTGCACGTTTGTCTGTGCATTACCAGCAGGACCTGTAGGGGACAGGCATCTCTTTATCAAATTGTCCATTTGAAAGAAGGTGGCTATCCATCCCATACTTTTTCCAGCAAAAGTGATCATCATGCATGGGTTGCCTGTGTGTATTTGACTGCACTCACTAAACACAGGATGTCAGCTCTGCATCACAGCTGACCTCTTACACGCATCCTTTTCCATTCGTCAGAGAAAACTGCAGTATCTTAAGAGCGAAACCCAAGTTCACAACTTCTTCCGGTAACGTGCAACAGTCAGTAGTGGATCTTACCAAAAGGATGTCATTAGTACCGCTGCAGTGTTTGACTGTTTCTCCTCCAAAACGTGGATGTGATCAAAAGAAAGAGCAAATCCGGGAGAGACGTGTTCTATCATCTTCAAGAAGTTTCTCCTCTCACCATCTATCCTTATTGCTCAATTCCTGTAGCAGTGTTTGCACAGTTTTTCAGGGGGTTGTTCTGCTTTGCTTTTTTAAAATAATCACACCCCTTGCAAATTCTGCTACTTAATTTCTGCTGGTTGCCAACTCTCCTGTTCACATGGAGGCTGGTGTACTCTCGCAGCCAGCTGTTACAGAAATAGTAAATAAAGCTCTTTTTCCAGTCAGAGACGCAAACACTGTCTCGTCTGCGACTACACCAGGAACCTCTCTACAGCATTCTTTTACCCTCCAAAACCTTCATCCAAAGGCTTTGTTTCACTCGTGCTTTCCTTAGAACATCCGAGGATAAGATGGGTTTTGCTTAATTATCCATTCAGCATGGGGATTGATATGGTACAAGTCTAAGAGGTAAGCGTCTGGGTCCAGGCAGTGTTCACCTATCAAAACAAGAAATTCAAGAAGAAAAAGTAGTTTACACATCCTTAGTCCCACAGTTGTTAGTTTTTCCTAAAACCCGTATTTGTTCACATCCATTCCAATATTACAATCATTCAGAAGCTTTTCCTGTAAGTCTGAAAAAAATCCGTTTATGTTAAAATAAACCTATGTTCTTCTTAAAGCTAGACTAAGCCCAAGCTGTAACCTTTTTAAAATAAAAAAATAATTTAACAACGCACTTTAATACTCAATAACTTTAACCCAGGGACTTTAGCACTTGAAGGCAGTTATGACATATGCTAGCGTTCAAATGCAGTAGGGGAGAGCGAACTGTTTCGAGTCGGATTGACATTGTCTTCTATTGATACTACTATGAGAAATACCAAGAGGCAGCCCAACCACTCCAACTGCTGACAGTTTACAGCTGTAGTAGGGTATAAAAACTCCTTTCCGTTTTCAGACCCCCCTATTTCACTGCTACAATCATGTAACTTAAGCCTCCTCCCCATTTGATGACCCTATTTCATGAGAGCAAATCAGTGACTAATTAAGATCATCAACTTGCTTGACCAGCTGGTCTGAGAAACTTCCACCCAAGGTATCACTAGGGTATTATTGTTCTTCTATAAGAAAGTTTCTAAATAGAAGAAGGCAGAAGTCACATCCGAGTCGGCAGGTTTTAGCACAGACTCCATGTTCTACCTTACCAGACTTACTTAAAGCCCAGAAAAGCAGCACCATGCTTAAACACCTAATGAAATAGGATGATATTGCCCTTTATCTAGATGACGTAGTTTACGGTGTTAAGTTTTACATTAAATTCCAGAGGCCTTTAGCACTGAGGGGAGAGGGAGTATCTCATGGTGCATTCAAGGGAATGGCAGGTTTGCGCCTCAGATGGAAAAAACATTGCATGTTTCTGTTCAAGAAATTTGGAACTCTCAAGTTTCCACCCTTCTTGACAGCCTTCTTCTGAATACAATCCACCAGTGCTATGTATTTTTGGAAGTCCAGGCTTCAACTTTCCCACATGCTTGCCCTATAAAAGCTTGGCAGTGATGACAAAAACATAGAAACTACACACACAGCACACAAGAGCTTTGGCAGATGCTGTTCACTGTGGGTGAGGTTAACCCAAGCTTTTTGATTTTAATTCTAACTTTTGGAATTCCCTCCAAATCTGAACCTCCTAATTTATGTCAGAGAGTTATAAATACTGGATATTGAAGTCTTTCTATCTGTTATCACCTAGTCTTACCGATATTGCCTCCCACTTCATATAGGAGCAGGTTTGTAGACTCCACAGAGTTGTTACTGTAGAAAGAAAACACATTAAAAAGTTGGTAATGCTCTTCGAGAGGGAGGACAGGCAATTTTGCCTCACTGCTTCCAAAGAAGCTGCTCGTGGCTTGGAGGCCAGGAGCAGTCAAGGAAGCTACAGGCTACAGTATAGCAACCTCACTGATCCTCCTGAACAGGCAAACTGTTGAAACTGGCATCAAAACTGGAAAAAAGCAAGACAGATATTCCTCACTAGTAGTGAGGCACATACTATACGCACACACTAACTTCGCAGCAGGAAGCCAAAAAGCACAGATACCAAAGTTCATTGGCAGCTTTCCTCTAGGACTGACACCTGCTCAGGTGAAGCTCACCTGTAGGAAGAGGACAACAGCTGTAGCAGCCTGTTAGCAGGAAGCTAGCTCCCAGGTGACCCATATTCAGCCAACTTCACATCCACATCTGAATATCTGCTTTCAGGAGATGCACTAACACTCCATCTACTGAGTTTGCGTGTGGGTGCATGGGAGGGGGGGGGAAGGAGAGAGAGACTTTTCGTTCAGTTTTGAGTTTTTTCCAGCAATCACCACCAGGGTAGAGGCGGGAACCACAGGGCTTATTTGGGAAGCCCCTACCTTTACATATGCATGTTGGAAATACTGCTCCAGGCAAGTAGTTTGCACAGACAGTGATGTTTTTCCTCTCGGAAAGGGAGTTCACTTTGCAGGGTCAATGTTATTCCACTTCCCCTTCCCTCCAGTAAGGCTTTGCACATACTGCTAGAGTTCACTTGTCTTCCAGGTGACTAGAGACTAGCGAATTCCTGACAGCCTGGGCACAACGATGGAGTCACTCAGCTGAACTAACGTGCTCTTGCTCCACCCAATACGTTATTCCCAAAGTTTAGAACAGAGGGGCAGAGAACTGCCTCCTGCCTGCTCCCTGGGCCACCACCCCAGCTCTGACACAAGACAGAAAACACACAGTAACTACATTGCCTGGTGTTTTTATATATGTACCTAGAGAGAGAGAGCGCGCAGAAAGAACTTTTTACCATTTGAGGAGGCTGACGGTGTTAACAATGTTCCAGCCATTCTGGCACAGGTTCTTCTGAAACTGCTTCAAGACATCAGCAACTCTGGTCGCGTTGTTCAAATGCACCTCCAGCGAGTCTTTCAGGAGGAGAGAAGCGTGGACTTTCACGATCTTGGAAGGCTGAGCAAGAAAGGCAGAGTCAAAAGGGACAGCGTGCTTAAATTTAGACAAACTGTGGCATCGACTAAAACATCGAATTTCAAATTAGATCGGGGAGCGTAAAGAATCAAACTGCTGCTCAGAAACTGGACCTTTGTTTCTTACTCCACACTTGCTACAGGATGGAAAGGTTATAAAAGCATCAGGGTGAACACTGTAAACAAATCATCCGTGCCTCAGCATTGTGGCTGGGGAGAAAAGCACTGATTATCAGAGCGTGTGCTGGTGCTCCCTGCTGTTCAAGTACGGCACTGGCACTAGAAGGAGTAACACAAGCTTTAATGAAACTTATTCTGACAAATCCTAGTTTCAAAGTGTTTCGCACAACTCTGATAGACTTTCCTTTTTCCTCTTTAAATGAATCCCAGAAATGTAGACAGCTGAACTGCGTTATACAAGCTACTGAACATTTTGGAACCAGAGGTCATTTCAGAACAGAAGTACTGGAACATTACGGAACAGAGTTCAAGTGCTATTTTGTCAAAACCATTTTCGTCAACTCTTAAAAGAAAAAAAAACAAACAACCTTTTCCAGAAATTTTGTGGAAAAATTGAACTCATTCAGTCCAATCTGGAGCAAGTTTTATCAAAAAAAAAAAAAAAAAAGATCCCAAGGATCTTTTCCCAGCTTTGACTCAAACAGATCTGGTGCTAAAGATCTCAGCACCAACATGAAAAAGGTGGAATAGCACGTTTTCGTTCATCAGGGAAGCTACATCTCATACTGAGTGAGGAGAACCTTGTTCTCAAACTCTCCCATATAGATCAGCAGCATTATGGAGCAAAAAGAAAAATGAGATGCAAAATATTTTTTCACGCTACTGTAATAGTCTACAATTTCTTGTTGGAGTTTATGAAAGTAAGTCTGCCTCTATCACAGCAGACACAGCTGTCTAAACACATAGGACATCTACAGTCAAGTGAAATCCACTATTAGTGCCAGGTGACAACCAGCAGGTGCCTTCTCCTTTCTCCCGCAAGCATGCGGTGTCCTAACTGCATCTTCTGTAGTCTGAAGTTTATTTAGTGTATTGGGTGTTGGGATCATTTTTTGCCACAAACTAGCAAGAAGAGTTTGGAAAGCTTCTTCTCGTGGTTCTGCAGATTTTCTGCCTCTTGCTTCGTAAAGAGTAACACCACTTGGACTTTCAAGTTCTCGTGAAGGGACTTACAGAGGGAAAGAACTTGACCCTGTTATAAGGGGGCCCAGTTTTTCAAGTCCTAACTCACCTCTGCCTGCTTCTTTTCCACCTTGTCTTTATCAGCATGGATCTTCCGCAACAAATTTTTTATTCGCTTGTCACAGAACTGGTACCTTTTGCTACTGCTCTCGTTCAGTTTTCTGACTTGAGCTACCAAAAAGGAGGAGACCTGGACAGTGGGGTAGGGAGAAAAAAAAGGAATTAAAATAAGTTGGGTAGAAATGAGGATTCCGTTCTTATTTGAACGTCACTTTGCAAAGCTCTGCAAGTAGACAAAACATCTACGTACCTTGAAAACAGTTAAAGCAGCCAGAGTTTTTGTCTACAGACATTTGATTCCTCTGACATTTCCAAAACTATCCCTTCCCCTCTTCCAGGTCTTGCCAAACCAAGACACTGCTACCACACTACGAAACACCCGCACAACTCACCGTCCAGAGCAGATCCTGGTAATGGATCATCATCCGCACAACATCAGCTGCCCCCTCTGCCAGCTGTTTCTCCTTCCCCTCGGGGATCTTGTTCGGCAGTCCCTTGTGCATGAAGAGGTTTGGGGCCATGACTGTGGAAACGTTCCAGAGGTTCATCTTGTTGTTGTTCTCCCTGGCAACCACTTTGCTGAGAAATTCAAGGAGAGCCTAAGACAGGAAAAAAGATTGGACTTTAAGATATTTATTACCAGTAATATCCAAAAAACACCTAGCACAGCATTTGCTGGAGAGACCACCCGATTAGCATCATTCTTCGGTATCTGCGAGCAAATCCTGTACTCCAGTCAGGAAGTGCTGTTGCTGATAGCAACAAACAACTACCCCAAACAGGGAGACAGTTTGCGTTGGGTCCAGCGTTTAGGAATCAGGAGAGATGGTAAGCGCGGCAAGTAGGTGAGTTCTTATTTCTTGACAGATGTCAATTTATAACCTCTAGCTATAAAAGTTACAGAATCCAAAGACGATCCTCTCCCCACAACACCTCTCCCTAGATGCAGAACAAAGTTTTTGGACCACCTCTTCTCCCCACACCACTAAAGCCATGATGCACGCCAAATCACCTTTGACAAGATCATCTATCCCAGTGCTCTAAATCAAGTTTACAGGGTGCTAAGTCAGCCTGCTCTTGTTTCTCTGGAAGGTGAACCACTCAGCAATACAAAATCTTTCTGTACAAAAAAAAATACAGCTCTTGTAAAATATGGATGAAAGCCACAGGTTTTGCATTGCCTACAAATGCTTACCCCAGCAACTTTCCCCCCTCCCCTTCTCAGAAAAGTAGCAGGTGAGGGATTTTAAAGGCTTTCTGACTGTAAAAGGGTAGGAAGTTAGAAGTTTAGTTTTGTTTTTTTTTTAACACTTTTTTTTAAAACTGAAACTATCTTTGATAGATGGCATGAACACAACAAGCCATTAACCCATTCCCCTATGTTTCAGTATGCTCATAGACAACCTAAGAACTATACGCCTGTCACTCCACAGTGAAGTGCACTTTAGTACATTCAAGAGGAAGAGCACATTCCCAAACACAGTATAATAAAGGCCCTCCAAGACCACATGGGTTCCTATTGCTCTTCGTTTGTACCCACAAGGACAGACAGTGCTAACAGCTTACACTAACTGCACAGGCTTCAGATTTGCCTACTCCCCCTATAATGGGTTTCCATTCTCAAGTCAGTGAAAAAAGCCCAAATAACACAATTTACACTAATTACACCTCCCTTTACAAAGGCTGCTAGAGTTCCTTAAATAAAAACATGGAAGGATATTGTATTTTCCCAGTTAAATCAAAAATAGGTCCAATTACCTTTAAAGTGTTTCTGTTGGGCTCTGGCAGAATCAGGATAAGGAGGTTTAGGGCTTGCAATCTTTGCTTCAGGTCTGGAATATCTAGAGAGAAAGAGAAAACGTGACAGAGGGTTCAGGCTTCTGCTCTTTTTGAGAGTGGAAATGACGTTCCCATGTCATGCATACTGGGAACGGGGGGGAGACAATAGTTTATTGTAGCATTTGTCATCTAGGATTTGAGACCTTATTTTAAAGAAGTAATCAAGCTCATAGAGGTCTTATGGTGCCAGTTACATGAGTTTTAGAAGACCGGCTGATTTGTTTTAGTGTACACAGTCTACCAGCAAGTTTGGTGCCCTTGAAGGGCATCAAAAGATTCCCATTCCACACTTCTTGTGCGAAAAGAGAGTTGTGGGTTCAAACAATTAGCTTAACGTGTTCAAGCCATCTATTGAGACACAGGCCTCAAAATAAGAGGTCTGCAGAACACTGCATTACCTGGGACAGGCCGAGACCATGCACCCTGCCAAGATGCCACAACCCAGCATGCACGTGGTTATTTATTCAACTGTCCTAACTCATGGTGGCAAGCACGCAGCCTCAAATGAGGCAACAGAATTTGAGACTCCAGAATAGCATTTGTACACAAAGTTTTTGTATATAACCTACCACTGGAGACTAAGACACTGGTGCACTACAGCATCTGTTAAGCCCAGCACAACAAGTTTAATTGGCTAAACTTCCTATCTTGCTCTGTATTCCCATCAGATCACAACATATCTGACAGGAGAACCCAAGACCAGCAGAGCTTTATAAGAAAAGCACAAACCAGGCAACTGATACTAAGCAGCCAAAACGAGAACTCACTTTGTACAGCAGCAAAAGCAGGAAGATACTCTGCTGTCAGCAGCGGGGCAGGCAGCTCTCTTATGAATCTTTTCAGTAGCCCAGATATGTCATTCTGATGGACTTCATCCCAGCGGAAAAGGCCAGTATAGAAGTCACTTTCTAGTTTCTGCTCTAGACTCTATACAAAAAAGGGAATTTATTACATGTTTTAACAAGTAGATACAATGGAAATTCTATAGTTGAATACTAGAGGGCAAACTATCATGTCAAAAGACCGCAGAGTCCCTCACGGATTCTCCAACTTCCCAGCAACGGACATTTCTAATTGTACTGGGAAAGGACACGAGATAATTCGATTTACACCCTATTTAGGAACTTGCTTCAGCAACATGCTCACTGATCACCTCTGTACTTCATAACACTACCAGAGAGCTCATACCTTTATTCTGGTCTGGGACCCAGAAACTCTCAAAATGCCCTCAGTTTCAAGTCCTCTCTTTTCCAGACATGACAGCAACTATTAAAAGGGGGAAAAGAAAGCTTTTAGGTACCCAAAATGAGAAGTCAGCCCTTCCCTATCACAGCCTTCAAAACCTTCCTGACTTTGAGGATCAGAAGCGCAAATAAAATCTTTAGGGAACTTACTGCCTGGAGTAACAGAGGGACCTTGGTGTTGGGGAGCAGTTTTTGGTCATTTTCCAACAGAGTGTTGAGTGGAACTCCAAAGAGTCTTTTCTCTGCAACAGAAATAACACATACTCTAAGTTTATACCACCATTCATGCAGGCGTCAGGGATAGTTCCAATGCTACAGCCTAAGACTGCACTTCTTGTAAGCACAGATACCGGAGGGGAGAGGGGGAGGGAGAGGGAGAGGGAGGGAGAGGGAGAGACAGAGAGAGAGGAAGGGATCCTACCACAGCAATTAGTAGGACAAGCACATTTGATAGCCAGACATAAACGTGGTGCTAGGTATGGAGGTCATGAACCAGAGACTTCCAGAATAAGTTCTGACTAAGGAAAAACATCTGTCACAAGGTTTCTTATTACAAACCCTCTCTGTTCTTACAATTTATATCCAGACCTATGAGATGGTCTCAATTTAAAGAGGGCATAAAAATTACAATGACATGCAACTAACCTGTTGTTTTCAATTTAACCGCCTTGTTTCTCTTCAGCTCAAAGCCTAGAACATCACAGAGAGCTGTCAGTTCAATAAGGGCCAACGTGGGAATCTTCTTCATGTCCTGAGCAGATAAATCTCCAATCCTGGTCACTCCTAGTCTGCCCTTGGGGATCTTAAATTTCTAAAGGAAAACACACAAACACACACACACACGTTTTTTGTGCAAGTAACACTACTGACCCTGCTAGTTTTCAAGCTTATTTGCATCCTTATCACTTTTTCCCACTAACCAGCATCTATTCGTCCTCCTGTTTCAGCACTAGACAAATGCCCCAAACTACTCCTACTTCTACCCAACCCACAGTTGAAGAACTACCCACAGGTAGAAGAAAGGTACCCTGCTTCCAGCATTACATTTGTAATCGTATCAAGATCCCAGTTTGTCTAAGCTAAAGACAGTCAGATATCCACCTCAATCTACTTGAACCTTGGAAGAAGTCTAGCACATTTGTGGAAAAGAAAACTGTCAGCATCACAGAAAGTCCAGTTATTCTCCTCTTTTCAAGGGAAACGGCCCAGATATTATCACTACACTTTCCTACAGAAATACTTCCTCTTTTCAATCCTCAGTTACCCTTGCTCATCACTGACTGAAAACAGCTTTGCCTGTCCAAAAACATCTACCTTGTACAGACTTCTTGCAACACTATCTAGAGAGCACCTCAGGTTTCCACGATGTGATTATGTAACTGAGTCAAGTTTCCTCTTCTCCTCTAAACAAGAGCAGAGCTAACAAGTTTGAACAGGAAAAATCCCTTCTGAGCTTACGGTTAGGGCATTTCCATCTTTTATCCTCCGAGATTCAGACAGGAACGATCCTTTGAGCAGAACAGCTGCCTGCTCTGAGTAGGCAATGTCCGTGTTGAACACTTCCTCTTTCCCAGGGTTTCGAACCGGGCAGGAGTAATCCTGGGTTTCTGCTACAGAGAGGAGGGAAAAAAAAAGTCTCTATGCAGGCGGTAAAGTGTTTACACGATTTCACCATGCTTTGTCAGTGATTTATTTGCATCTTCTAGTTACTTTCTTGAAGACTTACAGTTACCAGTTTGAGTGGCAACTCCTAACAATACTAGACACAGGAAAAGTCTATTAAACCCACAGCTGAGGATATGCATGTATTTAAAAAACACAAACAAGGCCAATGCGTCAGCCCTCCCCGACAGCTGTACTGCACCACACGTTACGTCACGTTAACGCAGTCTTTGCGGGGCCTTTAATCCTGGCAACACTGCTGCCCAAGCTCAGAGACTGGGTTAGCAGAACTTCCTTTTGCGATCCAGCTCTACCTCAGAACCGCAGGGTCGAGAAAACATCGCAAGGCCTTCATTTGTGTTTATTGCTGCATATAGTGCAATAAAACAGGCCTTCAGCTGCATCTTAGAGACAACAGCTAACATAAGCACACCCTGCCCTCTTCCATCCAAGTTAATTGACCCTAGCGTTCCTCTTAAACATGCATCGCCCTGCCAACCAGCTTCTTGCAGATGTCTCATCCCCTAAAAGAATGGCATATGGCTAATGGTACAACTACAGGTATTCACGTTGTTACAGCAGAAGAGTAGGCTTGTGTTTTGACCATGAAAATGTAACAATATGCTCTTTCTTAAAGCACGCGTCTCTTCCTAATGCAAGAGAAACCTTCTGCACATTAAAACTTCCTGCTTACGTTTCTGCACATTTGCAGTCTGTAGATTGTGCCACAACTGATCTGGTCTGGAGTCCTCTTTCTCCGCCACCGTCTCCTGAAAAATAAACCAGGACATATTTATCTACACATAGCAGAACAAAAGTTGCTACAAGACAACCCAGTTTTGGCAGAAAAACACACCTGAGAACATTGGCTGTTAGCGCACAAAAACACGGCTCAAGTTCAGGGCTACATGACTGCTCTGGAATTACAAATCATTGAAACAATCGTAACTGGAGAATTTGGCAGGCAGAAGGAAAACACATGACTTTTTTAGACAGTATTTGTGATAAATCTCCATATCGTTTGCTAATGATAATGATTTACTAACGATTACCAATTGCTAATTCTTGTTTTCGCACTATGGGCGGCCAACTGCCCCCTTATTCCAGGCACTGAGGGGCTAACAAAACGTCGCAGCGCACCAGTCATGCTGCATGGTCTCTACCCGCTGCCTAAGCTCACAAGTAATTTATTTGCCACTTGGACACATGAGAAAGTGCATGGTAGATAGACTTCAGCACCTAGAAGCTTCCCTTCACCTGCTTTATAGCCGCCTAACCCCTTCAAGTCTAGCAAAACAAGTGAAGAAGTACAAGGAGGTATTTGGCAGCGAAATACGCCAATAAAAACCTTATTTTTGCTAAAACTAATTAGAATATAGGAAAGCATATTCTATTACGAAAAGTTAGCAACTTTCTGACAATCTGCTTATGATATTGATTCAGGGGCTGAGAACTGGAACTTAATACGGACCTATACAAAGTCATTGCAAACGGACAGCACAGTTAACGTGTACAGAGGCTGCGCTATACATTTAAAGTGAGTGCACAACTGTGGAGCTTTCCAAAAAAGCAGAAAATTCATTTTGCATCTGCAGCTCCATTGTCCAGAGCGTATACTGAATACTGCTGGAGCACCTTCAGACCCAGCCCCTGCGCAGAAAGCTTCTGACAGAAATGCCTGACCGTAGCTCATGACGGAGGTGGACACCCTCAACTGCTTCCAGTCAAGTCATCGTTGAACCCAATGAGTTTTAAGCTCGATCTCCTGATTATAATTTTCCACAGGTAGACTCCATTCATGGTAAAAGCAGCATTAAAAACAGAAGGGAATACACATGAGAATTATGGGAACATTCAATGTCCCAATCTCTGGGTACGGAGATAGGAAGTCCGTCATAGGAATCATCCAAAACCTGGTTTAGCAGTTAAGGCACAGCTGTGGGATCTCAGATCCAGGTCAGGAATTTCCAAGCCTGGAGAAAATACACTTTACCTTTCTGCACCTATTTTCTCCCTTACAAAGTGGGTATTTTGAACATCTTTTTGTGCAACAAGGTATTTCAAGGCATGGAGCGAAACAGAAACCCCAGGCCTGGTTTGTCCTCAGGTTCCTGAGAGCACCTGCAGGAGCCCCAAAGCTCTGCTTGGAAGCAGGGGGGAAAGCAAACCAGTTGGGAAAGTTATCCAGAAAGCCTGCTTCCCTCTGGGCTTACTTCAGGAATTACTCAAGTATAAAGGACTTTGACTCAGTGCCTGCTGCCCTACCCCAACGTCTCAGGGCAGTACCATTTTAAACAGAAAATGGTTTTCATTTGCCTAAACTGAACACTTTCCCTGAAATAAAGGCGGCAAACACCATCTTCCGTAAGTTGGGAAAGACGAGCAACGAATATGGAGGTTAAGTGACAACTACTCAGCAGAGAAGCAACAGGAAACCAAATAGATTCCTTTTAAAACATATTTTCTTGCTACCTTTAATTAAAAAGGGAGGGAGCACGAGCATGAGAAAACTGCCTTTTTTGGTTCAGTGCATTCTGCTGACAACTGCAGATCTCAGAGACAACTGCAAAGCTTTTAAGTCAAATAATATCCAGCCAAAGAGAATACGAATAAGCCCAACAGATCTAGAGTTATTGAAAAAGAGGCCAGCGATCTTGCCTGAAAAGCTAGAAGTGAGATGAAATGTCCCACTTCTAACAAATTAAGGCTATTTAAATAGGTAGTCTTAGCATCTTTATATATGCCTTCATCATACCAAAAATGCCATTTCAAAACATCAGATTGGATCTCAGCTGCTTGAATTATCAAATGCACATGTTAGTAACCTAGTGAGTGGGCAAATAAGATTAAGAGTTTAGAAAAACCTTCATTTCTACACAATAAAAAGTTGAACCATTTCAAGAGATACAACAGGCTTAGATTTAATCTGCAAACAGAAAAACAATGAATTTCAACCGAGGCACTTAAGACAACCTTGCAGCGTTACTGCTTTTAGAAGCATAATCTGTTTGTCACCCAGTCACGCAGGAAACGTGAATAATGCCCTGCAAAAGCAAATCAGCCACGACTCAGTCTTGGTGCAAATCACAGTAAAGTAGTAATCTACACTTCAACATTGGTGAGTTACAGAAAACACAACACACCAGTTTCCAGTAACATTACAGACTGCTAGCCTCATTCCCTTTACGCATCCAAGGGTTTATTGGACTAGTATAATTCGTTTCATTAAAGTGAAAGACATTTCAAAGAGGCTCAGACTGAGTAAAAGCAGCGTTCAGTTCAGGTAAGGAGCAGAAGTCCCATGCTACTGCAAACGCGAGATCTTAGTTAAGTTCAACACCTTCCGATCAGACACTTAACCAAAAGCAAAAGTCGCAAGGAGCACTAACTGGAATACTTTCCAGCACCCCTAGGACAATTGTGGATACTCCAACTGTTGGCCACAACCAAAGAGGAGCAGTGCAACAGGAAAGCAGTTGCAAAGCTAATGGTTACATTTTCAGTAGCAAAAAAAGGCATCGGCTGTCCCTTGTCCAGGATTGCCAGCTGTACAAATACCGTTTCCCAAATCTGACCTTATCAAGTTTTCTCTTTTTTTGTTTTTTTCCCCCCCTTCCTTCTCTGAAAGGGTATCAGGGGTCACCGGCATAAAGAAAACATGAGGGGTTCAAAGGCTGTTGGGGTCCACACCAGGTCCACTAGGCTGCAGCGCTACAGGAGCTGCACAGAATTCTTCCATCGGTCTCTAGGAAGACTGTGGATTTGCAGGTTTTGCAGCAATCCCTTCTCCGTTCTGCAACCTGGATGCTGAATTTCTACAACTCAGCTTCGTTTCAGCTCAAAAGACAAAGGCATCTACTTGGAAATGAACCATAAACGTACCCCAGAGTCGACCACTCCAAAAATGTCTCGGACATCCCGCACAGGATGTTTGTTCTTCCTCCTCCGCGACCGGGAGTAGGTGTCCAGCCTTCGCTGCACAGCCGCGGCCTGGGTCTTCGTCAGGGTGGAGAGCAGCACGATGTTGTCATTTTCTGAGGCCCGGTCCCCAAGGAGGTCAGAGAGGCCAGCGTCCTGGAGCCACTCGGCCTCAGCATCTCCCTCTGCAGGCAGGGCATGGGAAGGGTGGGGGGAAGAAGAGGGGACAGCAGTGAGAAGACAGAGGCTAACGGCAGTTTGAGTACCCAGAGCGGCTGCACGGCTGGAAAACCAGGCGCCTGAACTGTCCCTGCTCCTGGGGTGACAACAGGACATCATCGGAAAGGAGCTGCCTCTTTGGCAGGACACCAAGGGTGTTCTTGACGTCTCAGCCCCGCTCCCAGGCACGCGGCTGGAAATCCTCACCCTACGCGAGGGAGAGGAGAGGTGGGACGGGAAAAACAAAAATAAGGAGGTGCACATATCGTCCGGAAGCGCTGTTCCCTGCGGAGGCTGGCAGAGGGGGAGCACAAGCACGGCTCCTCCTGGGACTTCCCACCGGCTCTGCAACAGGGGCTGAACCCGCCGGGGGCTTTTCCCGGAGGGCACCGGGGGAAGGGAAGTCGCTCCCGCGTAAATCTGCTTCCGCGCGGACCGCTGAGCAAAGGGCGGCCTGGCAGCGGCAAAAACATGCAGTAAGTGCAGAACGAACGGCGCTACCTCTCCGGCTTTCGTACCCCCCCCCCATTACCTCGCTGTTCATTTATCTGTCTTTACCTATGTATCAACCAAGGGTTTTCTGGGTGTTTTTTGTTTGTTTTTAAACATCCAGTCACTGATCTGGTGGATTCAAATACATTTTATTCAATATACTTGTATGCAGAATTATTTATATGCATTGTCACTATTCTTTTTTTTTCCCCCCCCTCTCCCCTTCAAACTGGATCAATACTCATACAGTCATTCTCCAAAAGCAAAAAGAAAATGTTATAAAGCAATGCACAGGTTAAGAATATCTATACCTATTCAAAACACACTAAAACTAAAGACCGCTCCAGCTGCAAAATAAAGTGCAAGAAGCCCAGAGACAGTAACCGCAGCGTTACTCAGACGAGCTTGGATTTCACTCCATTCCTCAATGCACATAAAGCAGCACCTCAAACACCTAACAGTTTTTTTCTTTAGTTGTTCTTTGTGCAAGCTGTAAAGCTCCACGAGCAAGGCAGCTACCTGAAAACTCAGGATAAAAATAGTAATTTAACAGGCAGCTTCAGCTTTAACGCCGTGAATGCCACAAAGCCTTTACCTTTTCATTTCTCTGTCCCACGTTCGTTTACTACGGGCAGCTCCAGCATAGCTTTGTCCAAGGACACATTGGGAAAAAAAAGACAACTGATCTGACTGAAACAATAGTTTGCTCCCCTTTTTCTTTTCCAATACACATTGATATTTCCTCATTTATCACAGCTGCTCAGCTAAGTTTTTATTATTATAGCCACAATAATAGAAGAGCTATGCACCTCTTATGAGAATAAATCATGCATTTTTTTCTGGAGAAACTACCATTTCATTACAGCGCTTAAGATCACACAAAGAACATGCTGAAAAGACTTAGCAGAGTCACAGCATCTTCCTGCTAGTTTCACGAAAACAGAACTTTTTTCAGCATCACACCATAAGAAGCAGAACTGCACTTGAAGTTGTTTCCTTCCAGAAATCTGGCAAACCAGCTAGCATTCCTACAGGGTTTTAGCTTTTGGCCATTTCTCATGACCAGTTGTACAAAAGCTAACACGGAAGAGTATTTCCGCCGATATGCTCACTTCTTTACAACTACTCGTGCTTTTGCAGACTCCAAATTCTTCGTCCAATTTAAGTATTCTCACTGGACGTGTATTTTGTCACATGTCTGCAATTCCACATCGGCGCAGAGCGCAAAAGCCTTCTCCCATTTATTGTGTCTTTGGGAACTAGAGGAAGTTAATTGCTTGCAAATTTTGAAAATATCCAGTTCCAGTCATAACAGGAAACTAATCTAACACACAATACTAAGAAGGATGTCTGATTTATTGTCTTTGTTAGGCCAATGGCCCTATCTGATGCCAAAGTATCTCAGATTATTCTAATTTTTCTATTTAATATTTTTGGCCTGACTCTGTTTGCTTAGTAACACAAAAGGAAGCCAGTAAAATAGGGTATTTACAGGGGGAACAGGGGAGAAACCACAGTCAGAACAGAGAAGTTCACAAAAGTTTAGCTGCTGATTTAAATTTATGGAGCTGTTAGTATTCGCCTTTAAATTCTGGACAAGTAACGTTCCTGGGGCAGGGGCGAAGCGTCACTGCTGGGAATAAACAGGCAAAACTAAAGAACATCAGTTGCAAGAACTTACTTGAAGTGTGCGCTAGCCAAAAACCGTATTCGTTAGTAATTGCATTTTGTTTCCGAAAAGTTAAAGGACAGTTAAGTATCTTGCAAATGATTTCGGACAAAGCATTCGGCAAAACTTCCCACGCATTTTTCAAAAAAAGAAAAGGATCGTCCTTTGCAGACTCTTCTCAGACACGACTACGTGGTAGGGACGCTAGCAGGAACATCGCTAACGGCACTGCCGCACTAGCGCATACGTTGTCACTGCGCTGTCGGACTCGGAGATGGATCAACAGCAGAGAGCTAGAAAAGGACTATGCTGCTTGCATTTCGGGAAAAACGCTAGTTTCTCCCTGCTCCAGCTGTTAGCAAGGCTGCAAGTGTCATTAAGCACCAGGAGCTCTCGGCTGACCCAGTTCTTCTGCAGTTGCATACTGGCCGCCCACTACCAGTTGGTCCCATAAACAGCCTCCCATTAAGCCACCCTCGCGCAGACAACCAGCTTTTTCCAGCTGGGTCAGCAGTTTTTACAGCGCCTCATCTACAAGCAGCCTCCGCGCTGTCTCTGTGACGGAGCCTTTGGGGCTGCAGCAGCTCGACGTGCCTGAGCTGCAGTGCCACCTCGCAGCGAGCTGACCCTAAACAGCAAAGGCAGGAAAGCCTGAAGGCACTAGCCAGCTCCAGCTCCCATGCACACACACCATCCTGAAGTTTCCCCTTGCTACTTGCACTTTGAGCACACTAAACCACTTTCCAGAAGGCACCGATAGAGCATTTCCTTCCAGAGCCAGGTAGGAAGGCTTCACCACTGGGAGCATCGTTTCAAGTTTGTCCAGTTTCAACTGCCGATTTAGCAGTTAGCTCTTGCCTACCAGATTTAGACACAGCGTCAAAACAAACTTCTCCGTGTGTCCCTGCTTCCACACAGCAATCAGATTGCCTCTAACATATCGTCTTTTGGGTATCCCAGACAGCCTTTCATCTCACAGCATGGCCTCTTTTCCAGAGTCTCCTCCTCCACACTTTCATTTTCTGAGTCACTTCAGTAACCTTTCCAGTTCTAAAAACCAAACTTATGTCCTTTACATAGGGACACTAACAGCAGGCCGTGGTATTTACCATGTCTTGCCTATTAGTGCAGATGTAGACGCTAATCTTCCCACCTCTACTCTCCAAAACCCACCTTTAAGTACCCAGGATACCTACCCTTCCCTGCCTTAGCATCACACTAGGACTTTCCCCTCAAACATTTCTCCGTTACACACATGGCTCCTTCTCAATATGAGGCCAGAACAACAGCTGGAAGCTGTACAGGCTGCAGTCCCAACTAGTCAAGGCAACGTCCAACCGGCCCAAACACATGGCTCAAAACAGACAGAGCAAACATGTGCTCCTCATCTGCAGGACTGCGTGGTCCTTATTAGCATTTATCATTCCCCAACACCCCAGGATTTTGTACACTCCAAGTCAAAACGCAAATGGTCCAGGTCCCAAAAATTGATTGTCTGAAAAATCTGGGGCCTTGAATGTACTACTGACTGACCTCTACTGTCGCAGTTTTGTTTCAGAAGCTGAAGCTAGCCCAAACTAGCGCTCCTTCTGGGTAGGGAATTATCCACCATACAAAGGGGGCGGGGGAGAGAAATCTGTGTTGCCAAATGTTGGTAATACTCTAATCATAATGCAATATGCTTCCAAATCATTCAGGTGCATAACAAAATTTTATCTCCCAAGATGTTCATCCATCTTCCTTCCCTCACTCCCAACATTTTTGGCAACCTACCCTCTTGCGTTTTGACATCTGCAAGGCTGCATTCTTCTTGCTCAGCTTCAGTGCTCTGTTTAATGCTCTCCACTTCCAGCCAAAAACTGTCCATTGATAAGTGGTCCAAAGAATCTACCCTGGAGTGGATGTGCTCTGACAACGGGGATCCCAAAGGACTCTTCGGGGTAATCTGGTTCATTCTGCAGGGGCAATTTCTAGTACTGAGGGAGAAAGAGATAAGGAGAGACAGGTTAAGCTATACATATTCAGGTATGATATTCCTAGTGCATCAGTCTTCAGTGATTAATGACTACCATAAAAGCCAACAGAGGTAAGTGACTTCCTTTTGTTAGCGTTTAGCAATAACAGGCAAAGATGGGCCCAAGTCCAATAGAGTACGAGAAAAAAAAACTACTGTCCAAGTGATGTGAGAGGAGGCAGTATTAACACAAGTCTTCCTAGGCTGTCTGTCCTTCCAGCAACATCTTAGACACCTCCTACTCCCATATGCGCTTCCAAGATTCCCCCTGTGAGCAGGCACAGGTACTTTCCACATTCACAGACAATCAGGACGTCTGAAGTTCTGTGCACGTGCGCACAGATGATCTGGCACGCACAGCGAGTCCGATGACTCCCAAACAGGGCAGGCTTGTCCTCTGCATGCAGAGTCAACATGGCTGCTGCGCATCCTGCGTTTCAGCTGCTGCAAACAGCTCCAATGTTTGAGGCCCTCTTTTCCTGCCCAGACCAGGTTTTTCAGATTCGTGACACGGAAAAACTGTCCTGGGAAACCCAAACACATAGAAATATTTACCACCCAGCTGATTAATTCATGAGCAGCTGAAGTCCCAGACTAGTCCAGCTCAGCTGAGCTTTCAACCTCTCCGAAGGAAGGCGAGGTCATACCACTTCATATAATAACGTCGCTTCTAAAATGAAATTTAATGCTCCTCAAAGGGTTGCAAGCCTTTCGAACTCCGCTGTATACTTTTTTCAAAGACTTAAAATGAACAAGGATAAGTTTAGCCTACTTATTAAAAAGTCTCAATGGTTCAAGTTACAAATACAAAACTCAAGAGACTACACACTATGCTAACTCCAGATAGTTTGAAAAGGGTTATCAAGGACACTTGGAAACAGCCATCACTGCAAAACACATATCAGAATTATTTTCTGGGCACATGACAAGTAGTAGATCAAGTCTTATGCCTTGAGAAATTTGAACCAAACAAAACCACCAAATTTAATTTAGTCATCCAGCTCTGGAAGGGCCTAGGAACTAATATTTGTCAGCTATTTTGCCACCAATAACTTCCTTTCGCTCTAGTAAGCCACGACTAGTGCTCCTGGCACTATCTTGCTGCTGTTACAAGCAGCATTTCAGGGCCGAGAGGACTAAATTTGAAGGTTGAGCAATTAGAAGCATGTGTTATGGGATATTCTACACTTATATTTACACATTTACATACATATTCTGCACATTCCCTTTCCTAATATGCATGTAAGGCTGCCCTGCTCTTCTCAAGGTCAAAGCTAAAGCGATAACCATCATTCTGAGAACATCTGGAGCCAGCAATAGCACTGAGAACAAGAACAACAAGTTCTCTCTCTCTCTCTTTTTTTTTTTTTTAATTAACAAACAGGAACACAGAAGTTAAAGATTGAAAAGAGCTCTTATGCCATCCAGTCCACCTCTGACGAGGTAAGGGGTGTCTTGCTTGGTAACTATTTCATTCCTGTTCCTACTCTTGGGCTTCTAAACAGCAGGCCTCTAAGAGGCCACTTCATAGCCTGGCAGAGCATTTAAATATTCAGTCTAAGATTATTTTTTCCCCCTTCATAGTTCACATCCATTTATCTCAAATCTACGATAGCTGCCACACTAAACCATTATTTTCCCTTTCTCCTTTTTACTTATATCTTTATGCATTGGGGTAAAGAACTTAGATCACTTCCCTCATACCAGCTCTTCAGCTTTAAGACCCCTCCACCATTTCCTTGCATTTGCCGACAGCCTTCTGGCAAGAGGATCAAACAAGCCACAGTGCTACTATCAAAAAGACTACTCCCTATCCTGCCATGATATCCCATCAGAACGTTACTACTTGACAATCTGTACAAGCCACCACTTGGAACGTGACAATAGCAGGAGGTTTTCAATCATCTTAAGGGACTTTGTTTTGGCCAGCATCACCTCCAGAAACACTGCAGGAGCCAAAATTGCACAAGAGAGCAGCCTCTCAGCGCATAACACTACGCAGGCTAAGAAACCACCTCACGAGCTTTCCCACTTGCTCTAGAACGGCACTCAGTAGGCACAACTGCTCTTCTTGCCACAAGTTACTGCACTATATTGCGGTGGGATCCAAGTTACACAGATAAGAAGTAGCTCTAAAACATACAATTCCTTTGTGTTCAGCCTCCTTTAGGGCAGGCTTCATCTAGCACCCAAGAAGTCTCCTTGGGTTCATACTGGGATAGAAGTTATACCTAGGTTTGCAGATCCAGTGGAACCTAGCCCTTGAAGCCAAGGACAGCTTGCACAGAGCGCACACATCCCACAGCAAGCCTGCTTCATGCGTAGCTATGGCAGTCCTTCCCCAGACCTGACCTAGGCCTGCCTGAGAAACCAGCAAACTTTAAGACAACACAAACACAGCCTTCATCTCTTTCAAAAGTGTGACTAGTGCCCTGTATTTTCTGCATGACTTACCCAGAGATCAGATTCTGGATGCAAGCTTTAGTCCAGGAGATGCTACGACCAAGCGGAGTCACTCTTGTCTAGAGCATTAGAGTTGGTTCCTGGTATCTATCTGAGAAGGGTCACAACATCCCTACAGCCCAGACCCTCAGGCTATAACTTTGCCGCCAACAACTTCTGATCTACCAACACCTCCGGTCCATATCACGATGGCACAACCCTGGTACAAGGATGGAGTACTGTTAGACACTATACTGAACTGTGCGAGTACTCCCGTCCCACTCCGACTTTTGCTTCTGTAGCATCCCTGGCCATCTTGCTTCCTCCCATGGCTGGATTTGGATGATCTAGTCATCCTTGCACCAAAATAGTCCACTACTAGTCACACCATATGCCTGTGATGGGAGAGTCATACTGATCCGCTTGTGGGTCAAGAAACCCCAAAGTGATCCTGATCTTTCTTCTCAACAGCCCTGCAGGATGCTGCACTAACTCATTTCACCAAGGTGCAAAGATACGCGCTCACACAGCATTAACAGGAGCCAAAACCCAGCCCTGTAGCTCCTAAGCTAGCACTGTTGTTCCTGTCTCACAGGAAAACACAAAGGCAAAAAGTCAGGTCTTAAAATTAAGGCCAGAGAGTACAGCATTTTAATTTGTTTGCCTCTCCCCCTTGAGCACACTGGACAGTGCTTTACAAATTCAAAAGGCCAGGTGGAAAGTTAATTTTGGATTCGGTGCCTCTAAGGGATTGCCCTCCGTTGACTTACAAACGCAATGCGGAAAAACAATCCGTGACGTATATGGGTAGCAACAGTTTAAGATTTAAGGTGTAGATTGTTGGCTTAAAATGTTAATCAGCTTAGTCGCAACCAGGCAAAGAGTAAGTGGAACGATCACGTTCACTCAGACGCACTGTAAACATAAAAAGCTTAACGCTTTCAAGTTTTAAAAACTAACCCAACAGTAAGCACACTGGCCAGAAAGATCTAGTTACGGGCAACCATAAAGGAATAGCTTTGTGACACGACTGGCGATACTAATGCAGTATATATAAATATACAGTATATATACAGTATAATGCAGTATATATAAGTAATACTCTTGCTTAATAGGAGAGCTAGTTTTAGCGGGCTCGAGATTCCTCCACCTGACTCCAATACCCGCAGTTTGATCCCAGGTTAACAGTATTGACAGCAGCACAGTTATGAGAAATTAAAGCAGACTGGCATGAACTTATTATTTCCCCTGCAAGTCATCTCTGTGTAGAGCACCTGGTAGCCCTAATCCGATTTGCACGCCTGCACAGCACGGGCGGGGAGCGTTGGTGGCACACAGTCCTGGACTGGGGTATGAAGTCTCAGAGTAGTTTTTGATCTGTTCCTAGATACTGTCAACACTTAGCAAATGCATTGTAAACACTCATGCAACTCTTGGCCCTCCTCTTGAATATATCAAAACAAACTCAACACTGTTGCTACGTGTTTGCTCATTCCAGGGTTGAATCACTCTGGTCAGCTTCTCACAGGATTTGTGGCTGCCTGGGCTACTTTGTGGCTTGCTCAACATCCCTTCCTCAGTAAACGCGCCCCTCCAGCAGATGGGTGAAGAGGTTCCCTCTTAAGCATCACAAGCAGAACAGGTGGTGCCAAGCGTAAGCCAAGAAACTGCAATTCCTTTAATGCTGTTTCCAGAAAAACTACGATGAGGAAAAGGCGACAAAAACAGATGAATTAAGTTATACCAGACAGTCCTTCCACACACAAGCACCTAGTTGTAGGGACACTGCCAAAGATCTGAGGCAAACACGAGCGCACACATAAAAGAAAGAAACAAACGGTGGGACTCTCGGTTAACTGGAAGCGCAGCACATCAAGTCACAGAATCAGAGCAATCAAGACCACTAGCATGAAATATACGTGCTCCAAAAAAAAAAAAAAAAAAAAAAATTGGGAAAACACTTCAACAAGTGCCTGCAGTATTTTCACAGGTAAAGACACTAATTCAGAGGAAGAAAAAATATGTTAAGGTCATAAACATGCATATCTTACCAGCTTTCAATTTATTTCAGGGTCAAAATAACAACTGATTAGCACGAAATTACACGGAACAAAAGGTCCATGCAGGAAAAGCCTCTCTTCAATTTCCTTTCAAGTTCCTATCATGACTAAGTAGTTTAAAGCCAAGGGAAGAACTGTATGATTAATCCTCAAGTGTGAGAAAACATCTAAAGACCAGCCAATCACAGCCCCCAAACAGGATGGATTCTTTTGTTTAAAATCATATAATAGAATAAAGGCATCAAAAAAAAAAGATAGGAGTATTTGAAAAGCTAGAGAAAGTCTTGCAGACTTAAATTAGATAAGGAAAAATTTTTCTGAATACAATTACTGAAAGAATTGAAAGTTTAAGTCTTAATTACCCTTTCAAAAGTGTTAATACTAGAAAAACTCCCTGTATAATATAAGTTAGTCTAACTATTACCAAATTTTTAGATAGAATATGCACAATCAGGTGTTTCATTTAGGCATACAGAATTACACAAAATTCTAGTCCCAATACACAAACAGCAAATTTCCATCAAGCGATGCCTTGTGGACATGAGCTCCACAAACTTCCTACAAACAGAACAGAATCAATTCATAGGAAGTCAACCAAAGGCCTCAGCCAAGACAAAGCTCTGTCACAAACCTTTACAGCCTGGCTTTGCTGTCCTTGCAACCCCCTAACTTCAGTACAAACGTATCCCACCCGCCAAGGAACAAAAGAGCAATACTTAAGTATTGCTCTTTGAAGACAAAGTGAAAAAATGCACGGCTGGTTCAAGCATCTCGGACCAGACCATAAGAGCGAGGACAGAATTTATCAAACTGCTGTGCCGAGACAGACAGTAACTTACCCGATACATATTCTTAATATGCTTTGTTTTCCCTGGCTTAACTAAGCCAAAGTAGTTTAAGAGCCATAATTATAGCAGTCTGCCGCTGTTGATTTACGTCTTTGCGTATCTCTAACCATAGAGGACCCGCTCGTTTACCTAGCGGCTTCATGGACACTCAGGGGCATCCCCTACAAAGGGGGGCCCAGGCCCACCCCCTGTTTTACAAAACACCGCTGCCAAAACCCCTAGTAGAAACATGAATTGGGGTTATCAAGGACTTCCCATACTTGTGACTGCATACTTGAAGCTCTGCGCCTGTAGCAATAGTAGGAATAGCCAAGATCTCACTACCAGTTTGCTAATAAGATTACAGCTTGTTTTTGGTAACACAACAATCAGTTCATCAAGATCTTCCATTATGCAAGCAGCTCTGGGAGCAGCGCCATATTTAAGGTTGTTTTGAAGAAGCCTGTTCTGCAAGCGATGAGGACACGCCAGATAGTTCTGCATACATCGAGCAACTCCTGCTGGAGCCGGCTTTCCCACTGCCCCGTCAACAGCACAGGCATTCCTCAAGTCCCTGTCTCCCGTCCTGCCATCCCTGCTTCCACCAGAAAGAGGAAACAGCAACTATTTGCCCAGGGCTACATGGAGCAAACAGCTCCTGAATCTCGATGCTTTTGTGTAACTTTGTGCTGCTTTCCCATAGCGCCTTCACCACTTTCTGTTTTTGGATAACTTGTGCTTTATTTAAAACTCCCAGCGCTGGGGCAGAGGCAATAGCTTACCTGACAATAAGTATTTACATCAAAGCATTTAAGGCCAAAGAAATTCCATCTCAACATCTGCCTTTCAGTCCTACATCTAGGACTTATCTCCACCGTCTGGTAAGGATCTAAATAAGCAAGCTAAGGAACAGCAAAATTTGCCTGCAATTACTGACCTACCTAGAGGTCAGTCTCTCATACAGACATTTAGAGCATCACTTAAGCACAGGACTGATAAGCATGTGTAGATTCAGGCAGTTCAGAAATACTCAAAGGCATGCTTAGTCAGGTGCCTGGCCCATCACGTAAGAGTTCACTTCATCCTCAGAAGATTTAAGCCATGCTCCACATGTACGCTTTTCTTTTCAGTCTAAGGTGAGCACAGACCAACCCTTTGGTCACTCCTCTGCGTTAGCAGGTGAGGCAGACGGGGCCTCTCATCGACTCGGCAACCCTGCTGCCAGAAAGGAGGACATGGCCAAAACAAAGCATCAGGAGCACTGCAATATTTAATTAAAATTTGAATTGGTGAGCCTGATTGATTATATGAGAACCATGAATTAAAAGAGGAAGCACCTCCATCCCTGCTTCCAGGCTCACATACTCCACGTCCATCCAACCCACACAAGCAGTTTTGTCCTTCCAGCGGCTGCAAGGAGCTGGTCCGTCAGTCACGTTTCACCTATCAGCAAGACACTGGCGCACCAAAACCCACAGACTGGTCAACATGGGGTAGCAGTTACCGCAGAGCGCTTGCTACACGCGGTCACTGCCACGTCCTTGCTACATTACCCCGTCCCAACGCCGAGGGGACGCCGCAAAGCGGAGCAGGCGCGCGGGACTCCCGGACCAGCGGGCTGCCGGTTGCTCGCACCATCGGTGCCTGGTTTGTCACAGCCCCGTGGAGCGCTGTCCCAGGGATTTTACTGAGGCCAGAATGAGTCAGTACCTCCCCGTTACTAAACCCATGGCTCAGACAACCCATGCTACCGCTACGTCAGGCCAGACACCCTGATTTTATTTCCATCACCGCTCTGGCATCAGGCAGGGTGCGTCACCTCTGGGCACCTCGGCTTCCACCCTGGAGGCGGTGGGGGGAGAGCGACCACATGGCTTTCAGAAAAACTGCTTGTATTTGTGCTTCCAGAAAGAAAAGACTATATCAGTGTGCTTTTGAACCCTTTACAAAAAAGTAAACTTATTTCTGCGCGATCGTTCATTAAAACAAAGGCTTTTTACACGAGTACAGATTCACACAGAGTAAATATTTGTCTCCCTCTTAAGTTCAAGATCAGAGAAGCTGTAAATCAGGATGATATAACTAGTTCCTGTTTCTGGTAGCCCATTCTACCGGCTATACCTGCATTAAAGCAGGGAACAAGCAATTTGGTCGTTGTTCGGGCATATGGGAACCGGTGAGAGCCCACAGAGCCATCACATGAGCGACCTGCTGACCGGCATGAAACGGGGGTGGAGGGATTGGGAGACACACTGTAGATCGCTTCTACGCTTCCCACATAAGAGGTTTAGGGCTACAGGAAGGATGGTCATAAGCTCCTTGCTGGGATTTCTCAGACAAGAGTTATCACACATGAGACGCCGCTTGGCTATTACATCGCCACGGAAAGCTCCGCTCGTTTAAGGTCTATAAACAGCTCTTCACTCAGTGCCACCTAACGAGAGCAAAAAACGTCGAGTTTGCAGAAAGAAAACCTTCCAAGAACTGCCACCTCGAGGAACAGCAGCCGGCGCCTCCGCGGCCGGCGGGAGGGAGCGCTTCTCAGGCAGGGTAACGAGATCGAGTCAAGCGGTAACTGTCTTAATGAGACTCCAATACACAGTCCATAGTTACCACTGCAAAAAGAAACAGCCATTAATTAGAAGGATGTTTTGCATATCATTTCATAATCACCTTGTCGCACAGCCACGCTTCAGGTCTACCCCAGGAGCGCGGTTACGCAAGGGGCGCCTTTCACCGCGGGCCAGACCTGAAGGAACAAATACAAATTGCCACTCGGGAGAAGTGAAAGGTTTCGGTCGAATTTAGTGAGGGAACGCAGCAGCGTTCCTACTGCAGCACCTCCTCAGCTCTGAGCACAGAGGTGCTCTGGCACCCGGCCAGAGGCTGGAACTAATCTAACTTGTTTGACAGAACCATAGGTTCCTCCTGAATATTTTGATTTTTATCAGAGCAACCCCGCAGTAATCTTCTGCGAGGGTGACTGGCTACTTCATCTGGTCCGTTTAAAAAATGAGCAAGTTTAAAGTAATTTACCATATACTCCTGTGTGATTCTCCTTAAGCTATTTAATTAAAAAAAAAGTCTCAAATTTTGCCTGGGATCTTTTCAAGACTCTTGCTGCTACATACAAGGCCCAAACGGACTAGGAAAACTGAGAAGTCAGACAGAAACAAGAGGGGAGCTACACACGCAAAATTGCTGTAGTACGTTCACACAAGAGGAACCAGTTTAGATTAAGCGCAACAGGGAGATATTTTGAAAATAAGTGCAATTTCTAGGTCGATGCACATAGACCCTAGATCAAGCCTTAAGTCGGTTAACAGCGCTCAGCGAGCACACCAACAGTACGACTTTCGTCGAGCAGAGCAGCCGAGTTCCCACGCTGCTGTATCCTCCAGTGCACGCTCTGCAGGACATTCGTAAACAAGCAGCTCTTAGGCGAGTACAGCTCTATAAACCATTGGAAAGCCCTCAAGACGTGCCCTCGCCAAGGCAGTTTCGCTGCCTTGCGAGGAACAACGCGGTCTTGCTATGCCCCCCGCAGCGCTCCCCTCCCAAACACGCGCACCTGCACGCCCCACTTCGCAGCGGCTCGCTGGACGCATCCCAACCAGCAAACTACCGAGTTGCAGCAGGACCGGGG